CACAGGATTCACCCATAATAGGCTTCATGCCCTTTCTCAGTAGATCAGCATGTTCAAATGTTAAAGTTAAATGCTAATCTGTAAGTTTTTGTCAAAGTAACCTTCTCTTAGCTGAAGTGCATTACAAGGCTGCCTTACATAGCTCAGGGCTGGTAAAAGGGAGTCATTGTCAACCTAATCTAATTGGGAGAAATGGACATTGGTATGAACCATGAAGTGAACCGAAACAGTTTTATTTGAAACTTAAACTTAGTTTGCCAATTTCATTTTTCATGCAATTAAATATGAGGCTACCCACACCTTGTGTGTGTAACTATATATGTATGTAGGTGTTTGCATCTGATATCCTCTGACTGGCTCTCTCCTTGACCTTTCTTGTCTTGGTGCCAAACAAAGACTTTTCAATGTGTCCTCCAGAAGCCCTTTTTGCTCTTGGCATTCAGCTTACAAATGTCATACTTTCAAATATCTGGGTAATCCACTCACTTGTTATGGTTCTCTGGGCAAAAAAATTAACACTTGAATTGGCAATGCAGGCCAGGCACTAGGGAGCTCTGTAAAAGAATGCTCACCCAGCACAACATACACTAAGTGTACAATGAAGCTCTGCTTCCTTCTAAATTCCACTTCAAGTTTATATTTCTAACAACTCAGCCTAAGTTTTTACTATTTATCTATTTGTTTGTTTTTCTCCACAATAGAAATGCATCTATTGTCTGCTTCATACTCCAACACCATCTTTTGAACAGGAGTAGAGGTTTATCCCTTGTTTTCTCTTTAGGATTGGGTTCCCAGTTCCTTCTAAATTCTACTTCAGCTTTATACTTCTAACATCTCTGAAATTTATACTATTATTGGGTTTCCAGTTCCTTCTAAAGTCTTTTTCTTATCTTTCACTTTCAGTAGCCCCTTGAGTCTCAGTAGCATTATCACTTTGCTTGGGGTGGGGGAATTGATTTAAAAAAAAAAATAAAACAAAAAGTAAACCTTGAAGCAGTCACACACACATACACGTGAAGGATGTTAAAATGTTCTCAGCTTAACGCACTTCCCAAAATTTGATTAAACATCAGATCTTCTTATCTGGACTAAAGTCTTTTTAGTACTTCCTCATCTATAAAAACATTTACTACCTTTTTTCTTTTTTTTTTTTGCGATTTGTGACTTAATACACAGTAGAAAACACTTTTCTTAGCCTTATTTTTTTTTTCTTAAAGAAAAAAAAAACTATAATCTTTTGCACATATGTAATATATCCTACTATTATATTGTGTCCCATTTGCTGTTATAGATTAATGGTTGGTGTCATAAGTTATGAATAGTAGTTCAGTAAAAGCTCTTGTAAAATATACTTAATAGGCTGATAAATATGGTAATTATTAAAAGTAATCTCTACCTCATCAACAGGACCTGTTGTTACTGCCTAGTAGGTGACCAATTGTGTGTGTGTGTGAACAGATGGTAGAATTATTCAAGCTGTGTCCTTTGAAGGTAATTGAAGTTACCTATTGAAATATTGTCTACTCTAAGCACATAGAACAGCTTGAATAAATAAATGCTTTGATAAAGTTGTGCAAATAGTAATATCAGAATTTTATCTAATTTAATACATGACTTTTCCCAATGTATGAACAGGTTTTATTTAGATAGGATTCTGTCTACCAGCCTTTTCTTTAAATTTGATCAGTGGAGTTGTTTTCATACGAACAAGTGTATGGGCTTGAATGAGATTATAAAATACAGACATTCTTCAATTAGTGTGCTAAAAAATTTTATATACCAAAATTCAATTAGTGTGATAAAACATTCTTCAGTTTAACCATAGTAATTGAAAACTGATTTTTTTTTATAGTTACCAATGTACAAATTAGCCGCACTAATTGAGGGATTCCTGTACTTATGTTAAGCATAAGGTAAGTGACTTTTTTCACATGCCATGCTTAACACTCTGTTGGTAAAATAGCTAGAAGATTTAAGGTTAAAACTACAAAACTTGTAACCATGATGAATAATTACTAATTCAATATCAGTGTTGTCAAAGTAAATAAGAATTTTTCAAGCCCAGTTCAAAAATTGATGAGATAAATGATGCTACTTTAAAACTGATTCCCAACTTCAAACATTGTCCCATTAATATTAAATTATTTTTCAAATTAATATCAAAGAAGCAAATTAAGCAGACTAATTTATTTTTGCATTGTTTTTAAAATCGTTTTTGCTGTTAGGAGTGACGAAACCCAAATATTGGGCTGTATCCAAATTTAAAAAAAAAAAAAAAAAAAGAGCAATTGTTTTTTTCTTAACAGCATATGTTATATTTAGACCTAAATGAAATATTACCCACCCGTTGTGTAATGGGATAGTCCATAAATTTGGATCAAGCAATCTCTGTTATCTTTTAATTTTAATGATAGTTACTTAGCATAGCACAAGGCTGTATGAGTGAGAATCAAACTCACAACTGTAATAATAGTTTGCAAGATGAGGTTGCGCCAGACTCTCAACACAATGGGCCTGTTTGGCTTGAAAATCAGCATCTAAATTTGTGGCTTTTACATGGGCTTAAATACCAACTGGTGAGAAAGACATAGTAATCTAAACTTACTAAACTGAACTTAAAAACAATACCACAATAGTGAGTTCAATTATTGATGGTTGAAGTCATTTTGGAAGTGAATGGTGTGTTGCTAACTCCCCAAAGATTGATTTTCAAGATTAGATGTTACAGTGAAGTTCTTTCTAATATCATTGTCTGTCCTACAGGAAACCAGGTCTGATTTTCTGCTAGAAAGACAAAATTTAATTTTTAGATTATTTCTATATATGTAAATGTTTAAACATTATATACACACAAAGAATGCCAATGGCCATCAGCTGTTGTTGAGATATACACAACACCATGAGAAAGTTACTGTTTGTGTTGTTTTTCTAATATGAAATGGTGGATTTTTTTTTTTAATGTATTGCTAATTGTAGTTTGAAGCCAATCACAATTCTCTTTAATTGACCTCAAAGTAATTGCCATGTTGATTAAATTTGCTTTTGAAAGAAACACAGCAACAGCTGTTGTAACTGATTTTGTTTTTTATTTTCTTCCATCCTGTTGTAACAACTTACCCTCCATTTACATACATCAATTCGTGTTCTGCAGTGGTTCTCAGCTCAGAGAATGGAACTGGCAAACTGAGTTCAAATTCCAACTAAGAGAGTTTCACTTTTGTACTAATGTCCTTGAGAAAGCCATCAGTGATTGATATGTTTTTATGGCTTATCAAACTTTTGTGGATTATTTACTTATTTTAGATTATAAGAATAATTCTTTTTGTTTTTTACTTTTTGTTTGTATTAACAATTTTAAAAAAATGTTTTCCCAGATACAAGTCCTACTATTTAGCCCACAGCAAAGGGAAGGAGGTGAATTCATACCTTTCCTAAGGATATTTGCACATAAGTGAATGTAATAAACTCAACTGGAATTCAAACTTGGCTCTTCAATTTCTCATTCTGAGCTGCTATTCATTGCACCACCAACACATCGCTTTTGCACTGACAAAAAAAGCACTGGTTAACAGTTACCTTTGTCATCTTTGGTCACTGACCAACTGAGTTAGTTCTTCAGTAGCACAGTGATCCAAGTTTAAAGAGTAGGCCCGAACTGATCTCTACTATAAACAATTGGTGAAAGTGGGAGTAGGGGTCTGCAATAGATATCGTCACTCTAATACTTACAAGCAAGGAATAAACCACATACATACACACACACACACACACACACACATATGTATAATCATTAATAATGTTATTTGTACTTGTCTATTAATGTATCAGAAACATCTCTTTATTCTGCCATAATGTTTCCAAAACCTTAAAGCTAACTATTTAAAGAAAAAAAAAAAGCAAACCAGCAAATAGAGAAAATATATACACATATGCAGAAAAACATAAATATTCAATTACAAAAAATCAGTATATTTTTTAAATAAATTTGTATATATGTTCAACTTGTGATTGTCGTCATGTCCACAGCAGTTGTCTTCAATGAGTCCTTAGTGTTGTAAGGATACTAGTTAGTCTCCTGCTCAATGGCATCCCAGGAGATTCAAGTTAAGAGAGCTAGGAGGCCATAATTTGTGGTTGATGTGATTGTGAAAATAATTAACTGGCCATACCTGTTGGTACATGTTACAGGCAGCCTCCTGAAGCTTGATCCCCATATCCAGTACCTCAGTGTAGATGATTGCAGGGAGAAGTGAGTCCTCATACCCCTAAGATTATAATAGACAATGTGAATGTTGTGTGCATCACTGTGAGTACCTTTATGAGGTCTTCACAGCTTACATAACATTCCTTCTGTTAACCTGATCACTTTCCAGAAGTTTTCTATTTCTGAGTTGTAGTAATTGCCACAAGCATAGCATACCTTTTTATCTTCTGTGTCAGACTGAAAACTGACATGTTAATGCACTTAATACATGTGAAAGAGAAATGAAAATGTTAAAATTCAGCACTTACCATTTTATGTTAGGTTGCCTTTTCTTTATGGCTTGCTAAATATGTGTTCTCAAATACTGGTTGCACCTTCTGTGTGTGTGTGTGTGTCTCCTGTTAGGAGACTCCTTCTGAAAAAGCAGCAGGCCTCTAGAGTTAGCTCAGAAGGAAACTCTAACAGGAAACCTACAACCTTGATGCTTTCCTATCATCATTCCATCTACATGCGCTATGACATGTAAATCATTAAATGTTTTAAAGAATAAAGTTGGTCATGTGCATGCCACACTTTGCTTTCAGCATGTCTGAGGTCTATTCCATGCATCTGCCAAGCCATTCCATAGTACAAGTGGCTCTGGTCATATGCAGGTATTATACAAAATCTAACTGAACCCTAACCAGGTATCTTGCTGTGGAAACATTACGTGTACACACATTAACATTGTTTCTTAGAATTGTTGATATTGTACTAAACTTGTTTTCTTTTTTTTTCTTTTTTTCTTTCTTTAAAGCTTGATGCCAACCAACTTGACCAAGAACTTTTATCTCTTGTCAGGAATCAGTTCAACAGAATATTTCCCTATGATCAGGTCTGTTGAATTCAAAGTCATTTTGTTTCTTTATTATCTTGTTTTTGTCATTTTAAAGAGATTTTTACTTGCCTCTTTGAAAATATTATGAAAGATCTTTATAATGTTGGTATTGACCTAAGGGATTTAAGTCTTACAAATTGCTAAATGTTTTAAATTTTATGAACAGCTGACTAAAATCTTTTTTAACTCTGCACATTAAATTTTTCTCACTATTATTGTTTTATTATGAGTTTTACTTTATTATTTTTTATTATTTTATAACACTGGGTTGATATACTCTTTGATTGCAACCTTCCCAAGGACATCAGCTCTCAACTTGGCATCTACGCTGACAACACTACCATTTACTCCTGCTTCAATAGTAAGGCTGATCAGTCCAAGGTCAGAATGGCAGCTGATCTACAAAACAACCTCAAGACCGTCGTTAACTGGGGCAAAAGATGGCTTGTTAATTTTAATGCCTCCAAAACTAAATTTCTCTCCATTAATCATCTGAGATATCTCCCCTCTCTGTCTTCCATCAGCATGGCTGATGCTAACCTCCAGGAAAGTGGCTCATTGTGCTTTCTCCAACTAACATTCTCAGCTGCTGACATGAAGTGGAAAGACTATACTAAATCCATTGCTAGGTCAGCTGCTAAGAAAGTTGGTTCACTGTATTGGGCAAGACAATTTTTCTCTCCAGAATCTATCTTGCATATCTATAAGTCTTCCATTTGCCCAGACTTAAGATATGGCTGCCATATATAGTCTGGTGCTCCTGCTATTTACCTGGAGCTCCTTGACATAATCTAAGGAAGAATCAGAAATATTATAGGTCCTGATTTGGCAGCTTGGCTTCAGTCACTTGCCCACTGCCATAAGATTGCCTCACTCTGCATTTTTTTATAAATACTTTCATGATAATTGTTCAGATGAGCTTTTCACTATGGCACCTAGACAGCATGAATTTAAGCTCAATACGAGACTGGTGGTGAGATATCATCAATTTACTGTTGAGCTGGCTGTTTCTTTTCTCGCTTGTGGAACTCCCTTCCAGCTCCATGCTTCCCAGCCAACTTTAATCTGCAAAAATTTAAATGCAATGTCAATCAATATCTACTGTCCTTTTTATTACTACTCATTAGTAATGTTTCTGTTCCTAATTCCTCCATACACTGTAACTCCTTGCATCTTAGTGGCTATACTAGCTTGCTTGGGGTGATACCAATTTACAAAAAATGTAGCCTCTTATCTGATTTAAACTGATATCCCACACCTTAAAAGCTCATCTTTCATGAATGTCACCAAAACCAATTTGACTGCAGAAGCCTTGATGATTAAGCAGAAAAAAATGATTGACATTCTGACGCCCACAGTAGTAATCATTTTTACTATTATTATTTTATCATTAGTTTTACCAATCTTATCGATTTTCTCTTTTTACTTTCATAGGAAGTTGTGATTTTAAACTCTGAAATATAAGTTTACAATCAGAAGAGACTTAATATCTTCTCAGAAAAGGAGGAAAAATATTGTAAAAAGTTATAAAATAAAACAACGAAATAGTTGGTGTTTGTTAAGTTTTCAGAATAATTACTTATAGTCACATTACACATTCCTATTTGTTTTTTTAGTATTTTAATACAACTGAAATTTATTTACATTATTTGGACTATTGTCTTCATCTTTGTTTTCATGACATTTTGGCCGTTGTATGCTCTAGCCTTCAGGTGATATATGTTGTAATTTTAAACTTTATTTTGTCCACCAGGGTATTTTGTTCTAGTTCCACATACAATGCCTTTTCTGTGTACCACAATGGGTAAAAGTGTTGGTTTAAGTAATCCAGTGACTTGACCCAAAGAGTTGTGAGTTCAATACCTGACCACAGCAGAGGTGAGCAACAACTTGGAGAGTTGAGTTACTAAAGGGAAACAACTGAAACTGAGATATCCAGAAAAGACATAGCATATGGAACTAGAACAACCTATCCCAGTGAATGAAATAAAGGGTACGGTTTGCAGTTCCAACATATATCAACTGAAGAAGGCCAGAGCATATAACAGCTGAAATGTCATGAATATGACAGTAAAGATGTTGACAATAGTCCAAACAATGTAAATAGTGTAAATAATTACAATAGCTCATATTAGAAATATAGACAGATGCTGAAATTTAGTTTCTATTATGAATAAAATAAATGTATGCACATATACCAGTTAAATTTTTCCACTCCAACATTGATTTGTGTTAAACATACACATGAAAGATGTTGGAATGCTATTTATCTTTGTGGTTGAAATGGTCAATATTCAAGCTGTGATAGATTTTCAGATGCTGATTTTCAAGAAGTCCTCCTTACATGGAAGATTAGTGCAATACAATATTGCTTTTCCCTATATATGGTCCTTTGCCAAAATAAGCTCATTTCTTTATAAAATATGTCACAATAAACTGAACAGAATATCTTGTGAATATTTCTCTGCTGACAAATGTGTTCATATTTTTCTCTTAAATTCTTTGCTAATTTGTGTTTATACTTTGTACCAATTTAAAAAAATATATTTTTAATGTATTTTAGCAGTTAATTTTTGATTATTTATAATTTTATATAATTTTTTTATTATTTATATTTAATTGCATTTATTCTAATTTGAATATATCTTTGATATTACCCTAATTTTAAAACATTTTTTATATTACTAGACTTCTTTATTAACAAGACTTGATCCTGAAATAACAGCTTTAATCAAATTTGTAATATGGCGGGTAAGTCATTGTTTCTATATTTTCACTTGATATTTGTATAAATTTACCAATAAAAGTTATCGTTATTGCTTGTATAAATATAGATATATTGCTTGTATAATATAAATATATTGTATAAATAGGTATAGATTTTTCACAGTCTTTTTCTATTTGTTTTGGAGAGCAAAGGTGAGGGGAGAACTGGGTGTCTCAAAAGATCAATCATTCAAATTCTGACCCAGATAAATACATTTTCATTTTAGAAGTACTAATTCTTACTATTTTTATCATGATGATTGCAATAACAATAAAATACCAAATGCTAGGAAATATATTTTATTCAACAGTAATATTTATATTTAAGAGTTTTAAATAAAAATCTTTAAGTATCTTTGTAGATTTTGTACCTAATACTCTTTCAATGAAAGGTAAATTAATGAATCCTTACAAATATTACAAAGCAACTCACACATGGCATTCATTCCTTACTGGTTGTCTCTCCATCTGTGCCCATGTACCAGACTAACCTTAGAGAATAACTAAAAAAATAATCTCTCTGAAAGTAATGCTTCATATTTTATTATGTTGGCCTGTGGCTTTGAAGGTGGATTTTGGTGGTAGAGGTGTTGAGTTGAACTTTCCTGCAGTGGAAATCTGACATGAAATTGTGTATGAAGCAGAAGTGTATCATTAAATGTCTCTATGATGAAAAAAAAAATTGCATCCAAAGACCAAACTGGATTTGAGCACAGTTAACTGGTGTATAATGTTTCAACACTTTCAAGTATAACAAGTCATGTTTTGAGTATGGAATGCAAACTCTTGTTCATAGCTGACAAAAGTACATAGCCCATTGTAGTGATTGTGGGAATAAAGTGTTTTGCAGCTGAAAACATGCTATATTCAATGCTTTTTATTGTTCTCTTTGTAGCTATTGTAGTTTCTGTGGAAATAGATAAGAGGCATTACTTTCTAAGTATCCCTTATAATTATATGTATTATCTCTAATCAAATGTAATTTTTTATCAATAACTAATGAAATTAAAAAAAAACATTTATTTAAATAAACAAAAAGAAAGAATTTCTAAGCCCCAGAGACTTGCAAGCTAAGCTATTGGCTTTGGGAAACTCTCCTCTGCTCTCGGACTTGTAAGTGTGGTAGCCTAACAGGTAAGAGCACAGAGGAATGGAATTGTTAGATTGAATTCCTGTTCTATCTTTGTTTTCATTCACTATTGCTCTTGAGAAAGGCACGAATCCATTTACCCCTAAGCTATGGGTAAATAATAGCTCTTTAGACGTGTAAAGTAGTCCCTCTTGAGTGTCAAGCTCACACCCTGCTCTTGTAAAACTTTATTTGCTACAGAAACTGTAACAACATCATGTAATGTAATTGCAGCCCTATGTCCCACAAGGAATCTGTAGAAATATAAAAAAAAATAAACAATGATATTTGACCACAACTGACACTCTGAATAAATGTTCATCCTGGATATGATAATAAATTACATCTGGTAACAAGGCAGGAAATTGGAGGTTTTGAGAAGTGTGGAATCACCTCCTAATTATTGTTCTCACGTCCACTCTGACTCAGGATGGTAACACCTGTTAGGGTCCAAGCTATGGGCAAAGTGATATCCCCCCAACTAAACAAACGAAAACAAAACACCATCAAAGTATAAAAATTCCAGCAATATATATTTATATAAAAAATTACCAACGATGCGCACATACTAATAAATTGTAGTAAATCCACTTAAAATACTATCAAACTGTATTCCAAAATATAACTTCAACAAAACTACAACATGCGTATCACTGCCTCTAGTAATCATGTACACACAAACATGTATATGTACAAAAGCTGAGTACCTACCATGTATTCAGCCTTAAATGACCCATAAAGAGTTGATATATACTTAAACAGATAAATCGGTCAATCTGAATAAATGTGAGTAGTGTTTTGTGGTTGTAATAAAACTTCCATAAAAAAGACTGATAAAACAATGCTATGTTTAATATCTTCTATGTGCTGTGTCACTTCAGGACATGGGTTATCATGGCTCTCCACAATTTCCTGTCATTTGTAGCTCTTAGTAAATTTTGTCTCTTTGCTATCTCTCCTAATGCCTGTTCTACCAACGATTTACACAAGCTTGTTAGGTATGCTGATTTCCTTTTCCTCTCTGATGAGTATCAAATTTTCTAAGCCCTCTTTCTTCATTATGTGCCCTAGAAATTTCAGCTGTCCTTTTCTGATGCTTTGCATAAGTATTTTTTTGTTTCCCTTTTCTCTAAATATTGCTCTTATGTTCAATCCATGACATTCTCAGTATTCACTGCCATATAGAACTGATAACACTTCAGTACTCTTTTCTGTGTTTCTAATGAAGATTTCCTGTTCCTTAATATAACTGCACAATAAAGGCAGATACATTGGCAGTTGACTTTGACAGCTATTATTCAATATAAAGTAAGCCCCAGAGTTATGACAGTCCCCACCTATGGTGATTTGTGGTTAAGATGCAATATCCATTAATCTTGTTTCAATTTATGCTGTTTACTTCATACATATGATACATGGTGCAGTGGAAGAATACATCATCATATGGTGTTAGAGCAAGGAAGGCAGTATGGGTCAGTTCTGGTTGTACACCATATTAGATTGTTGGTGAGTGAAAATCATGGGTACATTCAAACTTATACGGAAAATCACGTTACAGCACATTGTAGGACCAGAACTGTGTCATAAGTCAGGGATCCTTTATATAAGAAAATTTACTTTCAAGAATTTACGGATAAACATTGTCTTAAAAAGTGAAGGGTTTTTTTTTTTATATTTGTAACTCCAACTGATCTTTATAATTGTTTGTTAATCATTTCACCCCAAGCAAGGCAATAAAGCCACTAAAATGCAAGGGATTAATGAGAGAATATGAGAGAAAAAACATTAAGGAGAGAGAACAATAAAAGAACAGGATTTAAGAAAACAGAGGATAATGATTGACATTACATTTAAAAAATTTTAAATCAAATTAACTGGGAAGCAAGAGGCCAGTAGAGTTTCACAAACAAGATGTGTAAGAGAAAAAAAACTGTTAGCATAGAACTTGCAGTTACATCTAGCCATTTTAATTGTAAAATGATGAGATCTTGCCATCAGTCTAGTACTGTATTTAAATTCAAATTAAATTGTGCTTATTACCATATATACCCCTGTATAAGCTGACTTCATGTCTAGTGCGGCCCCTGATTTTTTTTTTTTTTTTTCATGAATTTTAATGCCTGCAGAAAATATTTAGTGCAACCCCTATTTTTTGTGTAAAAAAACTGATTATAAAAACTCACACTATACTTGAATATATATGATAATCAAGAATTAGTTGATTTGGATTGAGATATAAAAAGAAGTTATCCTTTGATTCTTGGTTCATTTTATCCACACTTGTTTTAATGTTTCAGTTTTCTGTGTTTGCAACTGGTGCATCTATTGGACAACAGATTCTCAAATTGAAATATGCAAACATGAGAAGACGTGACAGTAATTCACCTTGGATGTCACGGAAACAAAAGTTATTACATGGCTTCATTTTGATTGTCCTACCTTGGCTCAAGGAACGGTTCAATATAACCATTGATGGGCTTGGATTTTCTGGATCAAGCACTCAGATAAAGGTTGGCAATGGATATAATTTCTTGTTTCTTATCATTCTACAAATTATTTGGCATAACATCTTAAATTTTTGTTTGAACTTTTAAGATAAATTATTATTATTATGTACTGATTTACTTGTTCTCGTCTTGGTTGTTATAGTCCCAGTGTTTTAGCTGTTGTACCCTTTAGTTGTTTGTTTTTTTTTTTTTTTTTTTTCAGATGTCTTATAGATACATGGCTTGGTGTATAATAGCTTAAGCATAATAATAATGTTTAGCATATAATAGGTTAAGGTACTTGGCACTTATGAGATCAAGTCCTTGGTTGTATAGTGAAAAAAAAAGTCATAATCTGGTTTAGAAGAATGGAAACAACATCACATGGACGAATTAAGAAGAATTAACTTCTGAATCATCTTCTAACCTCAACAATAGAATAATCTCCTCTTGTGACTTGAATAAAGGGATCAATTCAAAATTCTCAGTTTCCTATTTTTGTCACACAGAAATGTGATGGACAGCTGAATGACTGAAATGTTATGACTATAACAACCACAATAAGGATGCTAGTCAAAGTAAATCATTGTATAATGGTATCTTGACATTTGTTGTAATAATGAGGATACAAGTTCAAATAATGATGAAGGTGCTTTATGTCAGAATTTCAAGCAATATTTTCATTAATTTTTCTTTTTAATCAAAAGCCAAATATGATTTTTCATTGTAATCAATTCATTTGAAAAATTTCCATTTCATTGAAAACATTCCTTTTTTATATAATTTAAATTTGATAGCTTTTTCAAAATCTCTGAGGCTAATTAGCACAGACATTGTTAAAACTGAACAAATTCTTTTATTTCCAATCTGTGTTAAAACAAGTGAAATTAAAATGAAAGAAATAATAGTTAAAAAATTAGTAATAATTGGCAATTCTTTATTTCAGAATTTAAAAATACAAAACTATTACTACCAATACTCTTAAATAAAGATGGCAACATGTCAGACTTCAGGCAATAGAAGGAATGGCTTGATCAGTAAGGCAACTGTTTTATTATCACATGCTTCCCAAGTAAAAAGGAGGCAAGTTTGAGTCTTGTTGGAAGCTTTCCCTTTATTTCTGAACCTCATTGCTTGTTGATGATTATAGAATGACTGAGAGTTTGAGATAAACAACACTTGAAATTAAGATGGAGATAATAGTAGTTGAAAAATTAATAACCACCTCAAGTTTGTTTAAATATATTTGTAAGAAAATTTCTTTCTTTTTTTCTTTAAAAGGTGAACAAGTATATTGAGTGGGCAGAGAAGGGGCTGAAGCTTGCTGCACTTGTCAATTTTGCTATTTTTCTCCAGACTGGAATCTACTCTTCACTCACAGAACGTGTCTTGGGAATTCGGTCCATGTTTCCCCAGAGGCAGTCATTACGACAGGTAAGCAATAATGTCATCTCAAGTTTTAATTGTGTTTACAGTAATAGTTTTGTCACTGAATATTAACATCTTATGTAAATGTTTTGATAATATCTTTAGCTTTATAATATGTTAAAAAGTAAATATAAAACCAGTGAAAACAAAAGGTAAATTTAAAATAGTCATTACAGCAGTTAAATCAATTTAGAACAGGTTTATTCTTTAGCAAATATGCTTTGTGACTGAACTTCGACATCTATTAACATTGGCACTATTTAAATTAACTGGTCTACTCATCAAAAAAATTTTTTTTTGTAGATTAGCCATTTTTAAATCTTCCTCTACTCATATTGGTTTTTTTATTCTTCTAGAAGAGGCTCTTGTTCATGATATACTTTCAAATTAATCCCTGACTTCTTAAAAAAGTTATCTGTACTTAGATTTAAAACTTGCCCTTTGTAAATAAAACCTATGTTCATATCACTGGTAACTGCATACTACTGATGTTGTCCTTTTTCCAAGCTCATAATATTACTCTGCTACTAAATGGTAAAAAAATCAATATTTTTCAGTTTCGACAAATGCTTTGTGTAGAGCAGTGGTTCCCAAACTTTTTTCCTCTGGGCCACATTTTTGGAATAAAATTTTGCTTGTGCCTCACCAAATTTTATGTGACAAAAAGTACATTTAAAAGTTAAAAAACAAAGAGAGTGTTCAAGGGAGATAATTGCATATTCAAAGTCAGAACATTATGATTGATAACTCTATCCTCCAATTTTCGAACCCTAGTTACTATAATCTTAGTACTTGATAAAATGCAAAAATATCAGTCATAATTATAACTATTGGAACTCGTGCATACAATTACAAGTAATCTCTATCTATAAAAGGCAAGATGTGTGTGTGTGTAACGAATGCATGGCTGCAATTTTCGACAGATTTGCACCAAAATCTACATGCACATGCTCCAAGTTAGCAGGAAGGCCAAGACTGACTTTGCATTTCCCAACTTCCATCGATAGTGGAAATAATCGATTTTTTCATGCTTCTATGGCAGTTTTCATGTAGCTTGCGGCCATTTTGTACTGGCTAGAGTGACAGCCAATAGCTGGCTGCCATGAATAGGCAGGAAGATTCTATTGGCCAGCGTGAGAGCCAACAGCTGACTGACACAAATGTTAACTAGCATGTAAAAAAAAAATCAATAGCTGCACTCCAATTGGCTCATTCGCTTGCTTAAACTCAATGTTGATTTTGATTCCGCAGAACTGGGTTGGGTGTGAAAAAGTATTTGTTGTTAACATTCTTTTTTCATTCGGTTTTTCCAGTTACGAGTCCTTTTTTGAAGCTGATCGTTTTGTGTTCATTTTGTTTAGTTCTTTTTTCGTAACAGATTTAATGTTTAGTATAGAGTTTAGAAAAAATTTGCAGTGTGAGATAGGCAAGAAGTAAGGCATGTAGCAACATCAGCATGGCAAAGGGCACTTCCTTTAAAGTCAAGGAAGGGCAAAAATATTTTAAGTCAAATGATAGCGATTACTGTATGAGTTGTACGATTTTTGAATCAAGCATGGGCAATGCTGGGCCATGCTGCTAGTCCATAATAATATTTAAAATTTTGAAATCATATTTATTTTTGGCATATGAATATTTTGAAACAGTTTCTAAATCTTTGTTTGTCTTTCAATCATTCCACCTCACCTGTTATGCTCTTGCACCACACCTATGAGACATGCCATACTGTTTGGGAACCACTAATGAATGCTAATCTATAAAAAATGATTAAAAAAATTCTTCCATGTTCTTTATGACTAAAGCTGTTAAATGTAAGTAGTGCCTTAAATTTCAGTCATTGCAGTTATATGATTGATCTGTGAATGATAGAAACTTGATAGCAATTCATTATCTGTTAATCAGGGCATCAAATACACTCCTTCCTTCAACTAGTCAATAGCCAGAAGCTACATTATTGATGAAGAGCTTTGCCAATATCTTTGTGAACATGATCAGTCAAGGTTAGATTAATCATTTTATAATGAAAAATTCACTGATGAGGTAGCAATTGAAAATTTATCTGATAACAAACAAATACACCAAGCACTTTGCAAGTCGAATGGTCACAGTTAAAACAACATCAATAATGTTGATTATGATGATTTTAAGCACTTCCGGTCTCACTATGTTGGCAGCAAGATGGATCCAGCAGGAGATTGAATAAATAAGTTTATTACGTCTCATGTTGTTTTTGTATTGCTTCGGCTTTTCAGCGGCCAGTTTCATATAACTCATTTTTCTACCCTAAGCCCAGCAGAACATGGTTTCTAAAAGAAGAAAAATTATTTTCTAGAAGAACAGGACCTAATTCAAAAAAAGTTATTGGAACACTGAAGGAGCAATCAAGTCAGTAGACACTAACAACAGGTCATATATTGTGACAACTTACCAAGGGGATTTTCAGAGAAATAGGAAACATTTTAATTTTCAGGTTTTGAAAATAGATTTTTGAGAAAGAAACCAGTTAGTGATCATTACAATGATTTTCAAACGAATAATAATACAAGAGAAAGTACTGGAAAAAATCAGAACGGATGAAAAAATACAAACTCCAAAATATCTGATTTCACAAAGTGTGTTATCGCCCTTGAACTGTAATCAAAACAAACTTTGATTTATAATTATTTATTTTGTTATTTGGAGAAGTTTGAAATAAATTAATGATGAAAATAAATTACTTTAGAATGAGGGATGTTATAACAATATCAATAATGTTGATTATGATGATTGTAAGTACTTTTGGTCTCACTAAGGAATGCTGGGAACAAGATGGATCCAGTGGGAATAAATAATTTAAGTTTACCACATCTCGTGTCACCTTTGTATTGCTTTGACTTTTCAGTGGCCAGTCTCATATAACTTATCTTTCCACCCTAAGCCCAGTAGAATAGTCACTTATTGAAAATAAAAGAAATGTTGTTACTTTTATTGGCACTTTGAGAGTCAAAATAAAAGAAACCAATCCTGATAATGTCTTAGAGGTTTTGGAATCTTTTCAAAAGAGCTGAACTAATTTTAAAAATCACCACCAGTACAAATATTGATTTTTACTAAGGAAATATTTTTTTATACATTTTTTCCTTTATCCTTGAACTGTTTTATTCATGCAATTTAAAATCATATTCAAGTCAGCAAAAAAACTAAGAAATGTTTCATTACTTGCTCTGAAAATTAAAGTTACTACTGCATTTAGAAAACAACCACTGAGTATGCTCTTGCTATAGCTAAGGGTTTAATATTTTTATGTATTATGCTTTTTTTTTCTTACAGGCTGATGAAAAGGGTTGAAATTAATTTTCATTTTTAATGGCAATTTTAAACTCTTAATTTATTTGATATTTCTCTGATATTAAAAAATGTACTGTGTGTATCTTGGATAGATCAAGTTGATATTTTACTTCCAGACTGATAGAATATTTACTTTTTTTTTTCTCAAGTTTTCAAGTTTTCTTAAATAGCTAATTATTTTTGCCCTCATACAATATATATATTTTTTTTTTTTTTTTTTTCCAGGTTTCCTTTGAGTTTATGACCCGAGAACTTTTATGGCATGCATTCTCGGTAGGAATTTTTTAAAATATTTTTTTCTTTGTTTTATAAAATGATACTGATATTTATATTTATATAACGGTTTTCAATTTTGATTCAAAATTCAAACAGACAAAATCCTTATGTTCTGTGAAACTGAAATCATTTCCAAATTTTGATCTTTACAGAATATCTTTACAAATAACACACTTGTCAGTTCAAATGTAATTTCAGAATTAAAAAAAAAAATGATATATGTTCTTTTCCTAAAGTTAACTATTTTTAATTCCCACAAATTGATGTCAATAAAACTGATGTGTTGTTGCATTTTGTCTGTTAACTTTAGAACAAATTGAAAATCACAAAAGCAGCTTGACAAAATATAACTTACTTAAAAAAAAGAAAGTGAATTTCTAATTTTTTAAAGATTTTTCTTTTACATGCCGTGTCAGATTTCTCTCTAAAACCTTGTTGTTACTTACATGTTAGACTCATGGTATTCTTAGCATCTTTCTGTATAACCATATTACTAGCAATAGATTTAACTCTAAACAAAAAACCCTCTTTACAAAAATACATCAATGAACCTATCGTAAAAATTTTGTCAGCATTCAGTTTGATATGCTGTAAAACAAAATGAACCAAACCAAACAGGAGGACAGATATCACATAACAGTTCAATACACTTTTCTTTGTTTCCACAAGATTTTTCTGTTTCTTAATACGTCTTCGGATCTCGGTGTTACACTTTCTGTCCTCTGTTAGAACACATCCCAGATATTTAAATTTCTGTACCTGCTTGATTTTAGTATCCCTGATGTTGATTTCCCAGTGGATGTTGATTTCAAAAGTTTTCTCCGTCTCTGTCTTATAGTCAGAAGGACACAGAATGCATTGTGGGATATTTTTCTTAACCAATATAAATGTGTTTTGACATGGCTCAGTCCAGATCTGCCTTAATTACTAGACAAACATACTGTGTTCGCTTGGTTGACCTTGGTTTTGTGTACAAACACCAAATGCTAGTTTGTAAATTCTTTTGCCTTCTTATCAATTTTAATTTGCTTTAACTGTATTGTTTTCTTGCTTGCATAATTGTTGCTGTTTCATCTTTTTTACCTTTTTTTCTTCTTTTCATTGCAAACTTTATTAATTCTGATCATGTTATTTATCTTGTACTTTAACAATGGCTTCTAACTCATCACCTGACCTCTAATTTGCATTTTGGGCTCATCCTTTTTGCTGTTGACCATGCATTCTGTCTTTTTGCAGTTTATGCTTAGACCCTTCTTTTTGCTCTCCTTTGCTACTTTCTGTAGGAGGTTTTGTAGTTTCTTTTCCATGTTTGTTATCAGCACTGTGTCATCTGCATATCTTGTATTGTTAAGATTGTGGTCACCAAGGATGAATCCTGGTAGGATTTGTAGTTCTCTCAGAATTATCTTACTGTATAGTTTGAATAAGTCTGATGAGAAGACACAACCTTGCCTTACACTCCTTTCTATTTTTTTATATCTACTGAACTCTTTTTTTTTTTTTATATATATATATATATATATATATATATATATATATCTGTATGCAGACGGTTTGCTGCAAGTATAGATTTTTGATTATTTTAATATCTTTCCCAAATATGCCAAGGTTGCTGAGCAGCTCTAACAGATCTTTGTGGTGTACTTTGTCGAATGCCTTTGCATAGTCTATAAAGCACAGGTACATGTCATTCTGCATTTGTATTGCTCTTTCTGATAACATTCTGAGCTTAAATACCATGATCCTTGTTCTGGTATCTCTGATGAACCCACACTGTTCTTGTCCTAACTCTGGCCTAATTCTGCTGCATGCTCTATTCATCAGAATTCAGATGATGAGTTTTGTTATGTGGCTCATTAGGCTGATTAATCAGTGAATTTCACATTCATTTGTACCTGGTTTTTTAGGCAATGCTATGAAAATGGATCTGCTTAGGTCTTCCAGTATATCACCACTGTTGTAGATTTCATTTATTATTTCTGTGGTCTTGTCTATGCCAAAGTTGTCTAAGGCTGCCAGCATCTCTATTACAATTCTGTCTGACCCTGCCACTTTGTTTCTGTTCAATTTGGCCAATGCAGTTTCAACTTCAGTTTTTAATATTTCCAGCCCATTGATATTTCTGTGTATTGTCAGTTTATTCTTTCATCATGGAAGATATCTTCAATATATTCATTCCAGTGCTGAAGTATTTTTCTTTCTCTAATACAAGCATTCTGTCCTTGTATTTCATGCAACCTGTTGATAAGCATATCTTTTGTCCTGTTAGTTCTCTAACTTTTTTTTATGAATTGCATATCTCTTATCTGTGATACTCATTATCTCTATTTCTGCACGAATTGAGTGATAAGTTGATTTTTTTTTTTATTTTACAATGCTGTAGCAAATGTAAAATCTTTATGCAAAATAAACTGTTAATATAATTGATTTTAGAACAACTGATTTTTTTTCCATTACTAACAGTATCATGTCTGAAATTTAGATATATTTGAGATGAGTGTTTTTAGGGAAGAAATTAAATAACATATTTACATTTATTTTTATTCTTAAGATTCCATTGTTATGATAACTTGACACTTTCTTATTTTGAGTGACACTGAGTATGTCTTGTGTTACCAGAACATATTTTCTCATTACTCAGGGTTAAGACCATATTAATAATATTAATATTTGTTTCTATTATCCTCATCTGCAATGCAATGAAAAATGAACAAGAAAATATAAACCTTGCTTTTTTTTTTTCAGTATGAAACTTTAAATTTATTTTGCAAAAAGCTACAATGCTAATTTCATCTTGTAATTATTATCCGTTTATACGAGAATATAACTGGAAATTCTGACTTTCTAGAAAGCAGATACGTTTTTTTTTTTTTTCTTCTATTTAGTGAAGGAACAGAACACATGGATGTGGATTTATGCCTTTCCTAAGAACATTGATATTAATCTAAATGACCTTGTTTAAAACTAGAATGTTTTACTGATTCATTTTTGTTATGTTAATAGCTTATGCTACCTTGCACGTCCAGGTTGCTGAGTGCATGCATTTTTAGGCAGCAGTTTTCATTTATACAAGTTTTGTTAATGACAAACAAAAATTCTTTGTTAAGGATTTTTTTCTGTTTATATTTTTTCTAACAAAGAACTTGCATTAGTCTTTCAACAAACGTTTAATATGTATATATATACACACACACACACAAATCATATTCTACTATACTTTTTTTCATCATGTTGTTGTGTAGAAAAGAGCTAGTGATGAAATAATAGTAATAATACTATGTGGATTTTGAAAATTGTAAATTTTACAATTTGATTATTCAGCTACATTATGTAGACTAGAATCTTTTATCTTTTTATTTAGAACACCATATTTCAACTTATCAGTTCTCTAGCTTTCATTGTCTTATGACCATATCATGTTGAAACCCTGGTTCTTGTATTATCATCAAAGTTAAGCAATACCGAACCTGCTCAGTATCTAGATGGGTAGCTGCTTGGGAATACCGGGTGTTGTAAGCTTGGATGTGTGGGTGATATAATGAATAATGATTTGGAATTAGAAATCAGGCTGCCAAGTTTAAATTCCAGTCAGGTTCATTATATTTATTGACTTGCCTGCAAAGACCCTTGGTAAAGTTATGAATCCAACTTTTCCCCCTCCTCAGTTATGGGTTAATTAGTCAGACTTGTATCAGTAAATCATTATTACCTCAAAAAAATTCTTACAATCTCATAATAATATCTGATTTTAAATAACCTGCAAAAAACAGATCAGTCAATCTAGCCTTCATTAGATTCTAACATTAAGTAATCAAGATCAGAGAATGGACTGCTGAAACCCAGTTTGTTCTTCATAATTCATGGAATAATGATAATGATTCATTCCAGAATATTAGTCAACACAACAAAAGCTGCAGTGAACATATTCATCAATGAAACTATAAGGCCAAATAATTGAATTATAACATTACTTCATCTTTTTTTTTCCCTGTCTCTTTCTCATTTCAGGAATTTCTCTTCTTTCTTCTGCCGCTTGTAAATTTCCGTCGTTTGAAGAGTTCTTTGTCCTCCTATTTTCTGCCTCGATCTAATCGTCGACCAACACTTCCACATATGCGCACACCTGCTGACTTGACTGTTTGTGTCATCTGCAACCAATGGCCAAACAATGCTCATGAGATTGGCTGTTCTCATGTATTTTGTTATTATTGCATAACGGTAAGCTTTACAATTCACAAGTTTCTGAAAAATAATTGTCAAGAATTTAAGCGAAGGTGGTTAAATGTTTTATCTATATTAAGTTGGTTCGGTATTATAACAAAATTACAAGCATATTTTTGTTCCACTCCTGTGATAATGTTATTTTCTTGTTATATCTAGATTTTAAGTCCAATGTCAGAAATGGCAAGAAAAAGTTTTTAAAATTTAACCAGAATAAACTTTTTTCTAGCTGGTACAGTAGGCACAAAGAAATGATCTGTCAACATAATGTATAGATTTAATAAGAACTAAATAAAGTTGTGACTACAAGGCAACATATAATTTGCTAGAGAACAAGCCATCTGAAGCATGGAGATGATAAACGTTTTAAAGATAAAGAATCCCATAATTTTATAGAATATGAAATCTATTAAAATAGGCAAAAAGTGCAAAGTAACTCTTTACATACATTATTCAGACTGTTATTCTCATCTTCATTGCCATATTCACAACGTTTTAGCCACTGTATGCTCCAACCATCTTCAGGTGATTGGAATTTTGATACAAACACTTTATTTCATCCACTGGGGTAGATTGTTCTAGTTCCATGTGCCATACCTCTTCCAGATATCCCGGTTATTTCCCTTTAATTGAACTCTCCAAGTTTTGGTTCACCACTGCTGAAGCCTGGTATTGAACTCACAACATGGCCCAGTGGATAAAGGCATTGGTTAAATCCAGTGACTAGACACAATGTTGGAGAAAAGGGATTAAATTATGATAAATATATATTTGATAAATTTTTAGAGCTTAGCTTTTTTTCTTTTTAAACTAATATGAAAAAGGAGTAGAAGCAAAAAATAAAACTGTATAAAAAAAATTGGAGCCATTTCTAACCATTTTAAAAGCAACCAGCTAAAAAATTGTTCTGAAACTGAAGTTAGTTATTTATTTATTTTATTCAGCTTTAGAGCTACACTGAAGTTGAAGCGGGCAGATTGTTCCTGGTCTGTTGTCCATGTCTAGGAATATACCATCTTGTATCTCTAGATATGGACAGCAGAATGAGAACAATCTACCCTGATAGATTAAATAAGAGTTAAGAAATCTTTGAAGGTTAACTGGATCAAAAGATCTAAAGGAGGGCACAGTAGATGAAATGACATAACAACAAAGATCAGGACATTAGTCTGAATGTAAATAATAAATCTTCCTAGAAATTCAAATGTGATATTTTGTTGCATCAAATGCTAAATATTTGACTCTCCTTTGAGAACATGAAAGATCAGATGTGCCTTAAAGTATTTGAGATTTGGTTTCCAAAGGCTATTTCTTTCCTCTAAAAAGAAGTGATAGTAAATAAAGAATTTGATTTGGGACATTTTTGATTAATCTCAAAAGTCATTCACATTCCTTATATTGATTCTGCTGATGATGCTAATTGTTTTATTCCTTTGAATTTTACAGAGCAACTTCTTGGCTGATCCAAGTTTTGTGTGTCCAGCATGTCAGAAAAACATTCCAAATGAGTTTATGATTCGTCCTGTCATAGATGAGTCAAGCCAAAGGTAGCCTCTTTTTCAATTCCCTTACTCTGGCACATTTTCCTTCCATTTCCGATCTGATCACTTAAGAAGATCCTCAAGAAAACAAGATGACTCATTTTCAATTTGGACACTTTGATATGTGACATCAACTGCAATTTTTCAGATCACCCGAGAGCGTGTTTGGATTTTTCTTTCTTTCTTTTTCCTCCCCCGCTCTCTCTCTCTCCCCCTTACTTGGTAATCTTCTACCAAATCCTGTAAAATCTTTGGCTAGCAGCAAAAAAAAAAAAAATGTTTGGGTTGCCTTTTTCTTTTGAATGGCTTGAAGAACAAGCTTCCAGAATTTCACTAACAAAATTTCTTCCACCATCAAAATTGATCCAATGTGCTAAAATTCATTTTTTTTTTTTTTTTTTCTGCACTTTCATGATTTCTAGATTATTGATCAGACCCCACCCGTCCCTCCATAAAAAAAAAACAAAACAAAAGACAAAACTGGTTTCTGATTGGTTTATTCTGGAGCCTATCAATTGTGATACACATTGTTATTGTTGTTCTTTTAAATCATGTCCCAAGTTGGACACAAAGGATTCAGTCTGTGACAAGAAAAACACTGATCTTATGCAACTGTCAATCAAATATGGCCGCCGCTTTGATTTCTTGAATCTTATCAAATACTGGCAGGGACATTGCTATTTAATATTATATCTAAAATGTAAGAATAAATCTGTAGTGTCTATTTCTCTGAGATTCTGAGGTTGATTTCATCCAAATATTGTACATTGCCAATGTTTCCCAAGATAGGAGATTTGAAAAATATAAATCGCTTCTATAGAAGCACAGCTAAAACTTGAATAATGAACTGATCAAAGGTAGGATTTAGATTTAAATACTTGATTATTATGGGCACAATTTTTTTTTTTAATAATACCTTCTATTTTTAAATTTGACTGGTTTTTAATCTTCATATTTTACTGCTATTATCTTCACTCTTTTTAAAACTTCTTTCCATCATATTTTTTCCCCATTTTCTCTTGTGCTGTACTAAACTAACCTAAACAATTTCTGTCTGAATTTCTGGGATGAGGAGTTATTTTTTACACATGGACTATTTTCTTCATCTTTGTTGTTGTTATCACAACATTTGGGATGAAAGGCTGTGATAACAACAACAAAGATAAGGATAAGTCCACACATAAATATGAAAATCAACCTTTTTCAGACACACAAGAACATAACATGCTTTTTACTTTGTAAATATTGCATTATTTTCTCTAAAACTGACAAAATAGTCATTTTTTTCTCTCTCACTTCTTCTCTGTGAAAATGTTGATTTACAACCAGTACATCAATAGATAAAACAAAATGCATTCCAGTTGATTAAACAAAACCAAAGGAGTAATTTCTGTCAGAGCATGAGAAAGGAATTTTTTTTTATTTCTCTATCAAATTCTATTTTACAGATATATATATATATATATATATATATATATATATATATATATATATATATATATATATATATAGTTTCAATTTTTAATAGAGAAAAATTATTCCAAAATACATTAAAACCTATTCACAAAAAGTTATTTGAATGTCCACCACTATTAACCCAATTACCCTTTGTTTTTGATTTTACTAATAACTAATTTGTTAACATGTTTGATTTTATAGAAATTAACTTTAGCATGGTGGTTGGTTCATAGTAATTTAAAATAAAAAAATAAAAAACAAACAAATGAATTCAACCTTCACCCCTCAAAATGCACCTCTAGTCTAATATTAATTTATAAATAAAAATTTAATTAATGTTGCCTTGAAATGCATGTATTATCTACCTTTTGTTTAAAATAATGAAAATAGAACAAGACAATTTTTTTTTCTTTTTATTCTGTCTTGATTTAAAATCAGAGATAATTTTAAATTGTTTATTTCTTTACAAATGTATACTGACATTTTTCCATCCAAACAAAATATCTGATTTAAACACTTTGACAACATAGAAAGAAAATGTAAACAATAAAGATAAAATTTGATTTTTTTTTTTAGTTTATGAATGATAATTTCTTACTATTTTCACACAAATTCTTTACCTGAATATGCACATTCTATTATTTGTAATTATTTTGAAATGAACAAATCTTTATGGTTAAATGAAAAATTGTTTATAACTTATAATTTTACAAACAATGATTCCATATTACTGAAAATTGCATAAACCATGAGTATTTTTAGGTGCCTAATAAACAGGAAGGTGTCCTTTTTTTTTTTTTGTTTGAGGAAATTTTCTGACCCCACCCACAAATTTATTAAAACACCCTATTTCTTAATTTCATCTTTTGGACCTTTTAAATGATTCGTCCCTCCTTTATTGAAACCACCCTCCATTTAGTGCATATTGAGAAAAATTAAGAACCCCACACCCCTTGTCTTGTATTAGGCACCTAAGAGTCTTTGGTAGTGTAATACTAAAACTTTGACTGACTTTCAAGAACGAGAAGTACGACTTGGGAATTACAAGAATGTTGTTCCACTGAAACAACTGAACCGAATGACTATGCATTGACTTGAGATTTTGAAAAGTGCCTTAACTTTTCATAGCATTAATATCAAAGAAATATGAAAGAAGTGCACAGAAAAAAATTCCAGTCAAATGCATGAAAAATCCTTCAAAACTATTTATGCAACCTATTAACATTGTGGATAAGATTTATTAAATACATCAGAAATTCCATTTGCTCTAATCAGCTTCTACAGTGATACAGCAAATTCTGCTGGTCTGAATAAAAGAAAATTTAGCAATAATCATGGATGTATTTTTGGTGCTGTCTGCATTTGATCATGTTTTAGGTAGGTGAGGTTTCATATTTTTTTCTCATCACTGCCCACTGACTTTACAACTACTCTGTCTGCTTAGCTTTAGGCATTTCCTGCACTAACAATCTAAACATTTTATAAATAGTTCTGCATGTAGGAAAATAAATGAAAGTATTGAATTTTGCAACATTTGACCCAAAAATAGTTTTTGTAAATTTTGACACAATCTGTATTTGGAACATAATCAAACAGAAGGGTATTATCAGTAGTCAGGAATTAATGCAAGTGTTGCTGATAGAGTAGTATTATTATTTCAGCAGCAATTGAATGTTTATGGTTTTGTAAATTTATCCATCAGGATTTGGAGGATTATCAAATTAGTAGTTACTGTCATTGTTTTACAATAGGATTTATGTGAAATTTGAAGATTTTGTAAAAATTTGAACAACTAAAAAGTAGATTAAAAGTTTACAAAATTTTAGCTGCTTTTTCTATATTGTCTGGGAGTTTCTGTAATTGATAAATTTGAATCACAGAGATAGTAATAAAAAATATTTTTGCATTGTCTAAGTTTCAGAATAGTTTTTAGCATGCCAAACATTGTTCAGATGATCAAATTTTTTTCAGATTTAAGCATCTGAACAATGTTCAAAACACTTTTTGCATTTTACTCTAACTAGCTAATTTAGATTTAAAATGTTCAAAGTTTAATAGCTTCATGTTAAATACATTTAAATTATTTCTGTGATATATAATTTGAAATTGTCAGACAGTTTTAATTTTGAAGTCAATAATATTTTTTATCTTTTTTTTTTTCTTTTTTTGTATTGGAAGCAACCAAAGCATCTTTAGAGCTTGAAAATATAAAATATTAAAAAGCATGAAATTAGAATGATATAATGATATGGTAAGTATTTATTAAGCTTATCCTTGTTCAACAAGGGGTGATCTCAGCATTGACTAACCAGTGCAAATTAAACTCAGTTGTAACAGTTTGCACAAGCAGCTTGCTAATTAATAATGTCTTACTGCAGTGCATTGATCTTTTTCTAGGAAAGGGTTAATCTCATGATCTAGGAGATTATCATAATGTCCTGTCATGGTTAAACTAACTTGGGCAAGGAAACGGTTACTTTACAGATTTAAAGTATTTTTTAAAAAAGAAAAACTGTCTGGCACAACACAGAGTGAGCCAACCTTAGCAGCAAACTTAGCAAGTGATTCAATATAATCACTCCACTTCATGTCAGTAGAAAACACAAAACCAAGAAAATGCAATGAGTTGCTCTATCAGAGGTTAGCATTAGACATGCTGATAGAGGGCAAAAAAGTTCTTTAATCTGACACAGAACTAGTTCTGTGTGGGTCCAATAGGAAGAAATTTGATTGCAGTGTAAATTAGGATTCTGTTAGAAAAGCTGTTTTTACTTTGTTTAGATCAGTAAAGTTTTAAGCATAATTTTGTATTGGTTTTCACAAAAAACAGTTTTGGAAGAGGTTGCATTGAATTTATGAAGACTAAAATCCATGCTAAATTGGCTTCATTCTCAAACTTAAAATTTCACTGAGAATCTTACTGAAATTTCTTTTTTCAAATGTGATTCAATGGTAGACATTTCTGAAAGCTGATTTTTATCTCAGGTAATTTGCATTTTTCATGGAATTTACTTTGAAAGTAAGAAAATATAATTGTTACTGTCATTTTTCTTCTGAAGAATAACTGTTTTGATTTTTTAGTGTAAAAGAGCACAATTTGTTTTAGTGTTTAGTAAATATTTTCCATTTTATGGTGATAATCAAGGTATTTGGATAAATTTTTTTTTTTTTTTTTTTGTTTTTTTTTTATCCAATAATTATTTTTCTGAATTTTCTTTCATGGAACACATTGTTAAAAAAATCTGAAATGTTTTTTGTACAGGGTGCAGCAGAAATACCTCCCACACAATGGTAAGACATTAGCTAAGTGAAGGCACCATTGCTACTAATGTCTTACCATTATGTCAGAGATATTTTTGCTGCACCCTGTATTTTATTGTAGTAATGTATACTGTCAGCTGCAAACAAAGGATTTATACCTGTATTAATGTTCAGCCCAAACCATATTGAATGGTTAAAATTTCATTGATTTCTGGGTTTTCCATTTGATTTGATTTTTATGTTTGATCAAGTTTTATTTATATTTCAGATTTGAATATTTTTTTTTCTTTTCTGTTCATCTCGATTCAGTCACTATAAATTACATTCTCCCTAACTGAAAATGGTTCATGACTATTTCGGTACTTATCTGTGATCGACATTGATAATTTGGTTGGTTTCTCAATCTGGATCGATGTGGATGATGTTTAATACATACATTTAGTTCCAATAATTTTTTGTTGTGTCAATGTTCTTTGAAATCAAGACCAGTGATTTATGGGAGACAGGCTTGATACTGGTTCAGTCCTTTGTTCTAATTGTTAACAGAATCAAAACTAGTAAAAATTATGTGATGTTTATTTTTATGAAAAATAAAACTTACTTTGCTCAACTTTAAAGCCCTATCAGAATGGAGACTCAACTTGTGTTTTCAATTTTTTTTTTTTTTTTTTTTTAAATACTGTTAACATGGCTCAGATATCCAGCAATTTGGATTTTTTTAACCGGTGAAAATTTTTCATTTATTTTTCTTTGTATTTTTTCAATCATTATTTTTTTTTTTTTTTTTTTTTTTGTCATAAGACCAATAAATATTTGTTAATCAATCAAGAAGATAGACATTTTGTTTTAAATAAATTGGTACTTTTGGATTCATTAAAAAAGAAAAAGCTTGCTTAATGATTTTTTTTTTTTTTTATTAAAATTCTCAAGAAATGCATCTAAATGTAAAAAATGAACCAATTTGAGGGAAGTAATCTGAAGAGCTCTCATTACAATGTCAGTCACAGGTGAGATAATAATTAATAAGCTTTATTTATCACTGTGCAAAAATCTGTAGCAATTGATAAAAATTCTTCTGCCTGCTCTTTCATTTCTCTCTCAAATTGAACATGATTGATACATTTATTGCAATTATATTCTGTAATTGTGTAATACACAAATATTTCATCAAACTGACTTGTTATCAAACTTAGAAGTAAAATGTTCAACTCTCAAACAAGTAGTTTAACAGGTGAACATAAGCAGCTAAATAATTTTTTTAAGTTAATCTCTTTGTGCATTTCCTAACACATGCTGTATATCTCTGCAAGATTACATATCTTTGAACCTGTTTTACAATCCAGGTAACCTTTAATGGAATCAACTATAATCAGGATCATTGAGTCAATACAAACAATCCTTTCTTTAGCAGCATAGTATGTGCTTCACCAGGGCTACATATGGTTTTGAATTCAGAGTTTTCCTTCTTCTAGATCAATTGTCATCTAAGGCTATAGAATCCAGTCTGTGCTACTATTTACCCATAGCTGGGAGTGGCAGAAGTGTTGGATTCATACCTTTCCCAAGGTTATTAGCACATAAGTGAATGTAATGAACTCTACTGGAATTTGAACTCTGTTTCATCAATCTGAGCCACAATCCATTACTCTACCATGCCCCTATTTGATCAATATTATTGAATAAAACAAAGTATTGTCCAACCAGTACTACTGTTCACTGTTTCATCTTGCACCACATACTTTGACTACAACCTTTTCAAAGATCAATGACATTAAACATTATTTTACTGAATTTATTATAACTTATGAAGTGTGTTATAAATCTCATTGACTGTGGGCTTATCGCCACATCACATTAAAACACTGGTTCCTGTACGATCACCAAAGTTAAGCAACATCAAGCCTGATCTGTATCGTGATGGGTGACCATTTGGGAATACCATTTGCTCTAAGCTTGGATTTGTGGGTGTTGTAATGGACAATGGTTCAGAATTGTTAATCAGAGAGCCAAGGTCCAATTCCAGTTGGGTTCATTATAGTCACTTATGCAAAAATACCCTTGGGAAAGGCATGAACGCACCTTTTCTTCTCCCAGTTATGAGGTAATTAGTAAGACTTGTATTATCTCCAAAAATAAAATTAAATTGTGTACAAAGTATTTAGATTTAAGCATTAAATAACCCATAGTTTGATATGTCACTAAATCAAAACTACCAACTACTATTAACTATGGTCGAATGTTGGCTGACAATCTTTGTTACTCACCTTGTCCTGAACTTTGTTATATACTAGTTTTTCAGTGCTTTTATTCAGACAAGGTCCCTGCTTTGTAGGCCATAATTCTGGCGGTGTTCACATACTGATCCCCTTTCAGCCCAACCTTGTACGAGTGAACCCTGTCTGCCTGTGCAGTATCATCTTTTAGATGCCATGTTGTTCTAATGTATTGCTTCCTGGAAGGAGCACTCCATTCCGGTTATGTTCTTTTACACATTTTTCACATTGTTCTACTATTTCAATTCCGGTGGGGACTGCCATCTATATGATTACCTATTGTAAGTGTGATAGAATATTTCTTGCATACAAAATAAATATAATACCAAGTTTCTTTTGGTACAAAGTCACAACAATGTGGCATTCAGGGTATTTTGTACTAAGTGAATATAACAAACCTGACTGGAATTGAAACTCAGAGAACTGATTTCCAATTTATTATATCACCTGCACACAAGAGATTGTTTAATCAGATGTGGAGTAAATGTTTCTCCTCATTTTAGATGCCAGGTATAATATCGATACAGAGCATGACAATGGTAGCAGGGACTGGAAAAAAAAACTTTTGTCCTTTGCTTATATGCATACATATGTGTATAGCACTCTTCAGATAAAAAAAAAAAATACCTTGTGTCACATCCTGCCTTAGTGGGGAGGCCTGGTTGATTCTTACATCACGCACACATTCAAGCTGACAGCACCTGGTATTCCTAAATGGTCACCCATCTAGGTACTGATAATGACCTGGCTTAATGTTGCTTAACTTGTACCAGAACCAATGTTTCAATATGATATGGCCAAGTTGAATAGTAGGCCATCACAACTATGGCAGTGATAGGGCTTAGCTAAATTTTGCTTATGATATATGGGGAAGTGCTTTAACCAAAGAGTAGCAATGGGCCTGCTGTTAGTTTGAGTGAACTCTTCTTCCTCCTTGACTTTGGGGAAGTAAAGTGTTAATGAGGTGAGATGCTTTTGAGACAAATTGATAATGGTAAATTACCAGAAGATTTATCCAAGGTAATATTGGATTATATAACATTTTTAAGTAATTTTCTGAAAAATTGATAATAGTGGATTGCTATAAATTTTGTCCAGTGTAATATAGAAATATTAACCTTAAGTGATTTTGTGTAAAATTGGTGATAAAGGAAAATTGCTGGAGGATAATGTGTTTGATGTAAAGTACTTTTGGAGAAATAAAGGAAGTTTTGGTAATAATGACAGTATAATAACAGTAAAATTTGTAGGTTTTTTCAAAATTGATGGAGTCATGAAAGAGTCACAAAAATAATTCTAGTGCATCCAAGTTGAATTGAGAGAGAAAAAGAATTATCCAAAGTCTTAAAAGAGAGAAGGCACATGAAAAAGTCGAGATATTGGTATAAAAAAAATGTTAAATAAAAGGAAATAATGTAATTTCTTTTACTTGAAGGCTTAAAATAGAAATTGTTGGGATTGTAGTTTTTTTGTTTTAATATGGAGAAGTAATGAGAATACCAAGTTTGGAACTAACATGAAGAATATATTTAAAAGGAAATGACGAAGCAACGTATAAAAAAATCAATCCAGAAAATTTAAGTGAAGATTTTAGTGTCAAAATTAAATAAATAATCATTTCATTTTGCAATTTTATGTAAAAACTTTAAAGAAAAATTGAGATTTAAATGTATCATACAAAAAAAAAAAAATAATAGGGTAAATAACTTCTGCTAAAATCCCAATGTAAAGGAATTAACTTTTTGTAGTTATGGCAAGTGGGCAAAGCCCTGAATAAAAAATTTATATATAATATGGGAAACGGGGTTTGTGTTCTTATTTTGCAACGTGGAATTCGTCTTTCATCTTGTTAGCAGCAGTGGGCCCTTTCCCAGCTTTCAACACACACTGAGATCAAGAATCAAAATGCAATGTTAGGGTAATCATTGGTCAGTCCATAGAAAGCTTGAACAAGAGTCGCATTGTATTTTTACACAGAGCTACACTTACACTGGCTAAGAGTAATTGATAAAAGTTGGATAGAATGTAAAGTTAAAAATGAGAGATTCAAGCCTTGTGTTTTTGTTAGTCATGTTAATGACTTCATTATATAATCAAATGTGGTTTACAAATATCTGTTGTGAATGGTCTTTGAGCTATCGAGCACAAACAGTGAGGAACTCGTAGTTCAATAAGGAAAAGATTTATTAAACAAATGTCAAAAATTTTCATTGACACTGCAAATTCTGTTGGTAAGGTAATAGTAATCATAATTTCAATTTAGTGCTGAGTGCATTTAAACCATGTAGCAATAGGCAGGATTTCAACCATTTCTTTAACATGTAGCTCCAACACTCTCTCCATGCTTTTAGTCATTTTATGCACCAACAAGTCTTTGGAAACCAGAAAATAAAAATTGATTAAACACCAAATTTTACAATTTTTAACTTACAATATATTTTAGCATTTTATACACTGGAAAATAATGAAAATCAATGGTCAGGAATAAAGGCAAATATTACTGACCTAAAATAGGGCTATTCACATATAACTGACAAACATTTACTATAGAAATGCATGGAAATGAGGTGTGTGGGGGGAAGTAGTACAAGAATCCCTCAATTAACACATTCTCGAATAGTGCACTAAAATTTTTATACACTGATACTCGATTAGTGTGGTAAAACATTTTTCAGTTTAACCATAGTAACTGAAAATTTTTTTTTTTTTATAGCGATTAAATAAAAATTTTCTAAAATTTAAAAATGGGTAACTATTTCTTTGTCAAGTATTATGTTATCTAAGTAATTACAGTACTGTTAAAAAGAATGAATGGTTATAAATAGATAAATTTAATAATATAAGCTGATAATAAAAATACATATTAGAATATTTTGATTTTTTTTTTATGTTTATTTTGAAGGTCTTAAAAGGAAATTTTTGATTTTTTGATAAAAAAATAAAACTTTTAATTCGATATAAAAATTTACATTTATTAAAAAATATCAAAATTATAAAAGATGTATACATTTACTATGAAAAAATTATGAATAAAATTTTCAGGTTAAAATACTAATGATTATGATGTTTGGAAAATTTGAAGGGGCAATTTCTCAGTACTGCCAATTACATAAAGAACTGAAGAATACCATGTGGCCAACCACTCTAAATAAGTTCTTCATAAAAAGTCAGATTAATTAACATTAATTCATAGCATTTTTATTGTATCTTATATGTACCTATATTTTAAGTAAAAAGTATGCAAATTAAAAATGAATTGTGAATAAAACTAAAATTTGAGGTACAAATAAGATCATTTCCTATAAGGTATTATATTCAATTAATGCATATCTTTTGATATACACATTATTAGCTGCACCAATTGAGGTATTCCTGTAATTTCAATAGTAAGAAATTAATGCAAGTGTTACTGAAAGAATAAGGTTATTTTTATATATAGTCTTTAATCAATGCATTTTTTATACAAAGGCTGAAAGTTAATAAAAAGAAAAAATAACAAACTAAGGCTTTAAACAATTATTTATTGTAAAATTTTAAAAAATGAGGTCTATTTCACAGAAATTATCATCAATCTATGAATGAAATTAGTTGAATGACCTTGGTGAGTTTTTTGCCTCACATAGTGAGAATAAAGTTTGCAACCTGTAGACAAAGTCTCAATTGAAAATAGCCTATTCTAATCTTAAAGCCTCTTTTTACAATGTTTTATGTATACGTGTAAACAAACATTCACATTTAAGAGATGAAATTAACTCCAAAAGATATTGTCATTAATCAGCATTCAATTAAATGTCATGGGATATTTCATTAACATTTCAATTTTAGTTTATATCATCGGCAGAATACTGTGACTGAGACATTGTTGTTATTATTACATATAGATTTGTTTGGAGATGTTTCCCCACTTTTGTCACATTTCAGCTAATGCAGTTTCCAACCTTTCTCGAGCTTCTTCAGTTCTATAATAATAAAAAGTATTACATGAAACATTGCCTAGATGCAGATCATCCTGAGAAAGAACTGACACATTCCGAGGAATTCGCTAGAAGAAATTAGAATAGTAAACATCCATGAACTACATAAAGGATTTCATTCAACATTCCAGAAGTCTACTAAAAGGAACAGACAACTGAAGAAGGTAAGAGAATCCAATGGCTAAAACGTGACATAATTAAAAGCAAAGAAACTGGTCTTAACAAATCAATGCATATGAATAGTAGTGACTTTTCTGCTTATTTAAGGATTGTATACACAGAACTTAAAAAAAAAATAATGACAGTCTTCTCTTTTGTTAACAAACAATATTGAAAATATATATGAATAAAAGACAAGAAAAACTATTCTTAGATGACATGTTTCACTCTCTGAGGGACTTTATCGGAGCAAATCTAAAATTTAATTTGTTGCACATGTTTACATTTTGTTTACAGATATAAATCTATGCCCAGTTTTCTTTTCAATCTCACCTTTCCTAAACGAATTACTACTTTCCCAACCCAACATACATGATCACATGTGTTACAAAAAATCAAAAGGAAATGGTTAAATCCATTACCTCATGTTTTTGAAGATGTACAGCTCCTACATCCATCCCAAACTATAACAATCTGATCACAATTGAAACAATATTCATTTATTAAAAAAAAAATATTTCTTGAATATTACTCGTTTA